AGCAGTCTGAGCTGAGATGTCTAGTATAAAGTTAACGATGGTCTATAGTTGAGGAAAGAATTCCAGGCTGAATCTGGTGATTCAAGTGTCAGCAAATATAAATGGTTAATGAAGTTCTGTGAGAGGATGAGATGAAGCTGGAGAGTGTGTAGCTCATGAGGAAAAAAAAAAAAAAAGATGTACTTCTATGAGGAAATCCAAAATATAAGGGATAAAAGAAGTAGAAAATTAACACCATATGTCTGTTTTGGGGTGAGTGTAACTTTCCCTTATCCCTCAAAGTAGAGGGAAACCAGATAATAGTGAGCAATAAAAGAACAGCTATATCATCTTAAAAATTAATCATATTAATCTTCCTTCTGTGTTTCTTATCTTTATGAAGGCCACCAGCATATACTGAGTAGCCTAAAGCAGACATCTAGGAACAGTCCTTCCTATTTTTTCCTCTTCCCATGTATCAGTCATTAAATCCTATGGATTCTACTTCTTTAACATTTTTAAATTTATACCTCTCTACTTCAGGTCTTCATCATTTCTCTTCTGGATTACTGAGACCATCTCCTAACTAGTCTTTTTATGTTTGGTCATATTATATTGAAATTTATTACCCACATCACTGATATAGTTAACATTATAAAAGAAAAATCTTACTGTGTGATTCTCTTGCTAAAAATTCTTTGTGTCTTTCCTTTAAATTTTTTATCATCTGTCCCTTACTTGTTTCTCAAGCAATACTTCTCTCCATACCATACCTTACATCTATACTTCACCATAGTGAATTTGCAGTTTGCAAAAGACTGTGTTCTCTCCTGAGTTCCCAGTCTTTCCAAATGGAATTTTGTAATTTTTGTTTGTTTTGAACAGTCATTGGGGACTTACTAAATTCTAAATAAGTAAATAATTCTCATTAAATCCTTTCAGTGTCCGTATAAATGTTATTATCATTCTCAATTTATAGACAAGGAAACTGAGGCAAGAGAATAATTGCCCATAGAAAGAGAGTTATCAGTAAGTGTTAGAGCTAGAATTCTAAACCAACCTTTATTCTTCATCGAAGTTACTCTCTGTTGTTACCTGTTCTAAGGAAATTTCCTTGGCACTCTACCTCCCATCCGCTAATTCACAGGTCTGTGTTTGGTACTCCTAATTTGGGTTTCCATAACAGGCCTTATGAACCGTTACCATAGTATTTACCATAAAATGTTAGAATGACTCTCTTACTTATCTGTCATACTCATTAGATACTGTGCTTCTTTAGGCCTAGGGATATATATGTAAAAATAAAATAAAATAAATAAATAAATAAATAACGCAGAGAGTTAATTATTTATATATTTATTTGTGCTTGCTTTATTTTAGTAAAGCTTCTGGTTCAGAACAGTCACTCAATACATATTTCTGGGAGGGAGGGAAGAAAGAAAGAAGGGAACAGGGAAGAAAGTATTTTGGGGGGGAAGGGGCAGAGGAAGAGGGAGAGGGAGAATCTTAAGCAGACTCTGAGCTGAGCACAGAGCCCAGTGCGGGGCTTGATCTCACGACTCTGAGATCATGACCTGAGCTGAAATCAAGAGTCAGGTGCTTAACCACCTGAACCACCCGGGCGCCCCTAGTTCTAATTTTTTTAGAATTTGATTTCATCTATATACTTAATATATATATACATATATGCATAGATACATAGATAATGTGTATGTATGTGTGCATGTGTGTGTGTGTACATATTATAATATGTATTATACACTATTGAGCTCCCATCTGACTTTTATTATGAAGGTAATTCCAAAATATCTTAATCCCATTTGTTAAGTAATTCTTCCCAATTTTTTGGATGTTTTCTTTAACATATAATAAATTTCTTCATATATAAGTCTGTTTCTGGGTTATTCATTCTTTTTCAGTGATCTTTTATTTTATTTTTGAATCAGGATTACATTTTAAAAATAGGATCCATTATTATGTGTTTGTATATAGATATACTTTTTAAATGGTTTTAAGAGTAAGGCATGTTATTTTAGGAAATAGAGAAAAACCAAAGAAAATAAATCACCAGTAATCTTATTTTATTAATAGATTTTCTATAAATATTATATTTCCATAATTCATTAACATATAGACTCAGGCACACATACATGGATGATTCTGTATCTGTATCTGTGATAAAGTGACATATGGACATACATGTATATGTATACATGTGTGTAGTCTAACAGATTGTTACATTTGACTCTTTGCCCTGAAATTATTCCAGAGGCTCAAAACCTCAGAACTGAAGGTGAGCCCATGAACCTCCACATTTTAAAGTGAGTTGCTAGACTATCTATGCAGGACTTGAAAGGTGAAGGTCATACAGTCAGTGCCAACAGCATCAGCCAGTCTTGCATCTTGGAAGCCAGGAGCAAATGTTCTATAGGTGCTAGGGCATTTTTCCTCACCATAAGTCAAGAAAGAGAAAGGTTAAGAAGTTAGCAAGTTGAGGGAGGATTTGTTTTGCAGAGAGTTAATCATACACTGTGGAGATTTTATCCCCAACATTATGGGTAAAGAAAGTTGAGTTTTTCTTTCTCATCCCAAGTTATGTGGTGGGGTCTTCAAGTGATCCACTTGAAGGCCTTGTCATTGGGGTGTGGGAATTTGAGAAAAATAAGAACTGACATTTGACCCATATCTATGAAGTCTAAAGGTAAGAGGCTATAACTGGAGATTTCCCCCTTCCGGGGTAAGTGATATTGAGAGTAAACTGCGCCTCCATCAATGGCAGAGCAAGTGGGTTCTCTGGAAACAAGATGTGAACTGGAGAGAGGGGAAGGGACCTTAAACACTAGATGTATTTCCTGAAGTCCAGGACCTGAGGGTGATAGTTTTAAGTGGCTAGCCTTGGGCAAAGATCTTACAGTGTGGTTCCCAACTAGGATGGTTTCCAAGTAATCTGCTGAAGTATCCCAGGAATGAATGGGGTCAGTTTTTAACATTTGCCATGCCCAGTTTACAGAGATAGGAGCAACCCAAGGCTGTATTTCTCATTTTCTCCTTATTTTTCTTTTCTCCTTAGACCCTATGCTGGAGAAATAAAAAAAGAAATTAGTGAGTAGAGGAAGAAGAAAGAGCTAATAATTAAGTCAACCATAATTTCTTCTCTATTTGTAGATTTGGAAGCCTCAAGGGAGATTAAGCTAGTACAGGAAGATGCTTTAAATTAGAGAAGCTCTTTGAGCTTTGCTTATTATATTAACTAGACTGGATCTAAGTGGCTAATACATAAATGTGGATTTTTATAAACTACTTGTTCCTTAAAAGCTATGGGATTGCCTTAAAATTTTATGCAGAGTTAGAACAACCACCCGTTTACAGACACTTGAAGGGATATAAAAGAACAAGAATGAAGTTGGTTCCTTCTTATACCCTATCAAGTCCCATTTGCTCAATAAATTGCTTATATAAGTATGTGTGTTTGTACACCCATGTGTGCCTATCTCCGTATATGAGTATATAAGTGTGGGTATGTGCAATGCAGTTATTTCCAGACATTCTTTTGGATGTCAAGTTTTTTTTAATGTCCAAATAAAATCAAGTAAGCCCTAATTTCTTATAATTTTTGGCATTCCAGTGCCCTCCTCCTTTATTTTCCAAAATTTATGTGGAAGATTTATATATTCTCCTTTGGTCTCCTTTGTTCTCTTTCTCTTCATTCTTTTCTGGATTTTATTATTTTATTTTATATTTTTGATAAACAGAAAGCTATACACAATTAATATACATAACTGGTGAGTTTAGTAATAACTATACACCCATGAAACCATCAAAACAGTCTATGCCATAAAACTGTCCATCACCTCCAAAAGTTTCCCACCATCCTCTTCATTATTGCTTTTCACTCTTACTTCATGTTTGTTTGTTTGTTTTGTCTCAGTACTGTGTTCCAACCTGCATCAGATTGCTCTGGTCTTAAGTGCCCCAAACTATGAATTCAATTTATTCTCTTTGATTTTTCAGGGAGCCACTAACAATGCACTTATGGGTAAAAATGAATCTGCTGAAGATCTGGTAGCTAGGAACAGAAAGTGAAGTTCTAAACCCTAATAATGATTAATCCTTGACCCTTAACCCTCTCCAGGCTTTCATCTCATAGAATTAGTGCCTTTCCTTCTAGGATCACCTCATATTGGTTGTTTACTTTTAAATAACATCAACATTATTATTATTAATGCATTAACAATGCTCATCTCGTAATTTAGTTATGTAATCTTAAACTTGGAGGGCTTGACTTGCCTTATAATCAGACCCACTTATAATTATTCTGAATCTGTGTTTATTTTCATATTTAACTCCTTAATCCATGAGAAATTTATTTTGTATATTGTGTTGTATGAAAAAACTTTTTTTTAAAACAGATGGTTAAACCGTTTTCCCAGTTCCATATATTTACTAAATATTCTTTACCCATCTGTTCTGAAGGCAGTTTCTCATTTTTTTTATTCTGTTTTTTATTCTCATTTTTTTATTCTGTTACCTGGCTTTTCTTAAATCAGTAACTCACAAATAGTATTTTCTAATATGTTATAATATTGGTATACATTTTTTTCTTCTTGTTATTAATTGTTTAGATTCTCAGCTCCTCATTCTTTCAAATGAACTTTTAAGCCACTTCATTAATTTCTATAAAAACATCTTGGGATTTTTAAAAAAATTTTTTTAGATTTTATTTATTTGAGAGAGAGAGACAGAGATACTGAGATAGAGAGCACAAGTGGGGAGAAGAGGGAGAAGCAGGCTCCCCACAGAGCAGGGAGTCTGATGCGGGACTCGATCCCAGGACCCTGGGATCATGACCTGAGCCGAAGGCAGACGCTTAACCGACTGAGCCACCCAGGCGCCCTCTTGGGGGGATTTTGATTGGAATTTATGAATTTTTATTTTACCATCTTGGCAAATGGTTTGATATTCCATTTAGTCAAATCTTATAATTAAAGTCCTGTATATCTTTATAACAAAATTTTTTTTAAAAAAATATGGAATGCTTCACGAATTTGCATGTCATCCTTGCAGGGGGCCATGCTCACCTCTCTGTATCATTCCAATTTTAGTATATGTGCTGCTGAAGTGAGCACTGTCTTTATAACAATCTTTGATATACTTCTGACATTTCTTCAAATTGCCATTTCTTCATATTAGACCTCTTCCTTCAGAATTAGGAACACTCAGTTGTGTGGTACTCTCTCCAGTGTAAAACTTCTGTATTTTCCTTTGAGTAAAACCAGAGATTATGGCTTTTAACGTGGGGATCATCTGCTTTTAGTCGTCTGTCATTCAGCAGATATTTCTTGATTATTATACTTTAGGTACTGTTTTAGATGCTGCATATACATCAATAACAAAGGGGTAAATGACTTGATACTCTATGTAAATGTTACATTCTAGTGGGAGTAAAGAATATAGAATGGCAGTTCATGGTAAGTGCTATGTAAAAAAGAATAGAGCAAGATAAGTAGGATTAAGAGTGCAAGGCGAATAGAATAATTTTAAATAGGGTGGTCATGGTACGCCTTACTGGGAACAAGACACTTGTCCAAAGACTTCAATGGATAAGATGAGCTGTGCAGACAGAGGATGGGGTAAGTGCTCCTGGCAGAAGAAAGAGATGGTACAACCCTGAGGCCTAATGTACTCAAAAATCATCTGGAAGGCCAGGATGGCTGGAATATAGTGAAGAAGGAGACAAAAGGGGATGAGTTCAGACAAAATGGGGGAGGTAAATTGCATAGGTCTTTGTAGGTCATTATAGTAATTTTGGTTTAACTTTTTATGAGACAAGAAATGATTGGAGGATTGGGTCGGGGAATGACAATTATATTTTCAAGGATTCATTCTGATTTATGTGCTGCTGTTAATAGGGGAGCAAGGATGGAAACAGGGAAACCAACTAGGGGGACATTGCTATACGTGATGCTGCCCTGGGCCAACAGGGTAGCAATGGGGGTAATAAAAAATGGTTAGTTGTAGATGTATATTAGAGTGCAAAGCAAAAGGTTTTTCTTTCTGGGTTGCATTTTTCTCCTTCTACTTTCAGTAAAGAATCTTCATTTTATAACTCTCTGCTGCTGACCTTTTAAATTTAGCTTATTCCTACCTAGATTCTCTTATTAATACAAGTTTCTTCTCTTGGACTTTATATAGGTACAATTCTCTTTTGAAAATATTGAAAATTTAGGGCACCTGGGTGGCTCAGATGGTTAAGTGTCTGCCTTCGGCTCAAGTCATGATCCCAGGGTCCTGGGATCGAGTCCTACATCAGGCTCCCTGCTGAGCAGGGAGCCTGCTTCTCCCTCTGCCTCTCTCTCTCTGTCTCTTATGAATAAATAAATAAAATCTTTAAAAAATATATTGAAAATTTAATTTTAGATAGCTGTGATGGAAAAAAAATACTGTCTGGAAATCAGGAGAATGTGATTCTTATCCTGGCTGTGTTACTAGTTCACCATGTAATATGGGATAATCTTAGCATTCTTTTTTTTTTTTTAAAGATTTTTTATTTATTTATTTTTTAGAAAGCAAGTGAGAGAGAAACAGCATGAGAGGGGAGAGGGTCAGAGGGAGAAGCAGGCTCCCCGCCGAGCCGGGAGCCCGATGTGGGACTCGATCCCAGGACCTTGGGATCATGACCTGAGCCGAAGGCAGACGCTTAACCATCTGAGCCACCCAGGCGCCCCTAATCTTAGCATTCTTGACTATAAAAGGTTAGAGTAAATGATCAGTATTATTTTTTTGAGCTTAAATGTTCTACCAATCTATGATTCTGTATCTGTATTCTGGTCAGTAAAGAGTTAAAAATAACTGAAAAATCTTGATTTGGGATCCTTGACATATCAACAGATTGCTTTGCTGAAGAATTCTTGAGAAGAAATAGGAAGTCCAAAAATGAGCTTATAGTATTTTGGGGGGACGGTGGTTGTCCTTGACATTGCTGGTAAGTTTCTCTTTTTGACAGCTGAAGAGGGGCCTTTTTCTGTAATGCTTGATTTCATGGGGCCTGCTTTGTCTTTATAACCCTACATTTAGTGGGAACTTGGTTCCCATTTTCTGTCTTTTTTTTTTTTTACCTCCCATGAGAGGATTTTCCCAGGACTGCCTCTTTTTAGAATTACCCTTCCCTATTTCAGTCCTGCATTTCTAAAACCTAATTTGTTGTGGTTGTATCACCATGTTATATATGTACAAGGCAATATTTCCATGCACCTTTTTACCTGTTTCATCCTATCGTTTCCCTGTATTTGACACTCTTCTTGAGATTCCTTTCCAGGGCTACCAGGTCCATCCCCATATTGCATCCACTGGGACATAGTCTTCATGTGTACCTTGTTCTCTCTTCTCTCTTAGATCACACAGTACATCTGATTCTGTGCCCTGGTGCTGCTTATTCTGCCCTGAAGCTAGCTCAGTCTGTTTTGAAACACATAGAACAATATTGTTTCCCCCATTTCAAGGGCGTTGCATTTGCGACTCTATTTGACACCGGGAGACTAGAATTAAGATACTAAGAGACTATGAAATGAAAGGCAGAAATAGCTTGTTCCTGCAAGTGGAAAGAAATTCACCCCCATTTTGCTAAAAGCACTAGATCTTTCTACTCAAACATTTGACATCATGACCAGGCTGGAGAAAGAGTGTACCTGTTCAGTTATAATTGGTTCTGCTCAGAGAAGTGAATTTCTCATTGTCTGTGCAGCTATAGGAAATATGGTTAATAAAAGCACATGTCAGTCTGACTGAAGCTGTTCTATAAAGCCTTGCCAGGCCACTCTGCAAAACTGGTATTTCCTATTATGAAAACTAAATCTCAAATCATAGTTAAAAGGTAATCAGTCTTCGGGAGAGTGGTCTGTAGAGGTAAGCAGTAATTCAGATTTGATTGGCAACATAGGCTTTTCAGGGAATAGTTCAAAATGAGAAGCATTTGGAGGAAGCCAGAAACACAATCCAAAATGATGATTCTCGGAATTTTCTAACATTGGGTTATTGGTAGATATATGCACATTTTTTAAGTTGTGCTTTCCTAGGAACTATGATGATAGTAAACGGTGGCTTTGCGTACTTCATCTCCTTTAGCTCCTGTAACACGACCTTGTGATACAGGTATCATTGTCACCACTTCATAGCTGAAGAGACTTGCCCAAAGTTCCTAGATTGTAGTCAGTGTCGGGGTGGGCCTTTCTCCTGCCAGCAGAGCCCAGGCATTCCTTATGGTCCCATGATGCCTCCTGGAAGGGTGGTGTATGATTGCCTCTAACAACTTTTCTGTGCTATTGCTCCTTGCTTTATACCTGTGTTTATTGTTTCCATCATTGACAAAGCAGAGCAATAGCACTTTCATCATAAGGTGGTTGTAAAGACAAAATTCAAAGAAATAACACATATCTTAAAAAGAAAAAAAAGGGGGCGCCTGGGTGGCTCAGTTGTTAAGTGTCTGCTTTCGGCTCAGGTCATGATCCCAGGGTCCTGGGATCGAGCCCCGTATCGGGCTCCCTGATCAGTGGGAAGCCTGCTCTCCCTCCCCCACTCCCCCAGCTTGTGTTCCCTCTCTCGCTGTGTCTCTCTCTGTCAAATAAATAAATAAAAATCTTTAAAAAAAAAATAAAAAAAGAAAGAAAGAAAAAGCCCCATCCAAAGGGAATTAATGTGACCTCACCTAAAAGCTCAATTTTGTATGCAAATTTCATGATTTGAAATAAAATCACTCCCTCTAGTTGAAAGGCATTGTGATTAGATACATTAGTAGCCTAAGTTTAGAAGCATGCACATTTTTCTTTTCATACAAAAATGGTGTTGCTGACACACTGTTGTGAGAGACAGGTGTTGTATGCCATTTTCCTAGTTGGATCTGCACTGAATCTGTAGTTCTTTGTGCTATAACCAGGTAAACAAAGACTGTACTATGTATACCAATATACCTGTATTGTATATAGGCATCACTACCAACTTTTTGTTTGGACTTTATAAAATTAGTGTTGCCCTACTGCTGCTTTGTCTTCGTCTGAGATAGAGCAGAACTAAGTCTCCAGATATTCTTAACTTCACTCAGGAGAATTTTCCAGTTTGGCAAGTAATCAAGCAATCTTCACTACATGGGAATTCCTTAGGATTTCATTTTTTTTCTTTTGCTACTTTGCTAATATTAATATTGATGTACACAGCTTATCTCCTTTGTTAGACCTGGGATAGTCTGTACTTCAGATTCCATGTCTTGTATGAGTGGGTGACTGTCCTGAAAAGATGCTTAATAAGTCTCTGTCTGGGGCCGAACAAGAGAACACATTTTCATGACACTTAAAATATCTCCCAGGGGAAACCATTTGGATTACATACAGAATTTATTCAATGCAAAGCTAAATAACTCTAGGACTTATTTCTAGGCTACATGCCAATCATACTGAATTTATCAAATTACCCATCAACTAGTTGGAATATGTAGATAAAACAAACAAAAAACAGCTGTTCCTCAAGATGGGCAGACCATGAAAGTTATTCTAGGCCATTGAAAGGACTCTGATTTTTTTCTATGACTGAGATAGGGAGCCATCAAAAGGGGAGAGCAGAGATGTGGCATGATATGATTTATGCTTTAAAAGAATCACTATGGGGGAATCTGGGTGGGTCAGTTGGTTAAGCGTCTGCCTTCAGCTCAGGTCATGATCTTAGGATCCTGGGATGGAGCCCCTTGTCAGGCTCCCTGCTCAGTGAGGAGTCTGCTTCTCCCTCTGCCGCTCCCCCTGTGCATTATCTCTCTCTCTCTCTCTCAAATAAATAAATAAAATCTTTTAAAAAAATCACAATGGCTGTGAGAGGGTCCTAAATGATTAACATTAGTAATGCTCAGGACACTGAAGTTTTGTTTCTAAAGTGTGATCTAGATATTAGGGCCATTTTGTTTTGATTTTGAAATTTATTTGAAAATATCTTTGCTATATCAAAGTAAATAAAGTCAGCTTTATTTTTCTAATGTTTTGCCATATTCTGGGCAAGTGGGCAGAAGGTAACGAGGATTAAGTAAAGTAACCTGGTCTGAACAGAATTTGTGAGATATAAAAATTTATTGCCTATTCAGTGATAACAA